TATATATATATATATATATATATATATGTAGGCGTGTGTTTCTGTGTGCTTAATCAAATCAGAAATGTTTCACAACTAGCAATGCTATGAGTTCGCCAAGGTATCAAACCAAGTTACTCTAAAATCCTGATTGTCTCTCGCCACTACGAACATCTTAAAATATATAAAGCAGAGTCATAAATGAACACAGACATACGTAGACGTGTAAACTTTTGTTATTATTTAGTAAATTTATCTGAAACCTGGATTGAGGTTCAAAAAAAATCATGTTCAGAGCACTTTTCAACTTTCACAAACCTTTCATTGTGTGTGAAGAAAATTAAAAAAATATAACTCTTTCATTCCCTTCTTTTCTTTTTAGTTGCTTGCGATACATCAGGGCAGTTTGCTGTGCCATAAGTGTAGAGCAAGATTTCTTTTCCTGAACGCTTGATACGGCATTAGATAATCCATTTCGTTATTATTCATCTTATTCCATGAAAAGATTTCGGGAAGATGAGCCAGGTGAGGATAACAATTACCGGGGGGAATCCCCGTTTCTGACGCAGTTTGAGGTTATAAACGGGCTTACAAAAAAACGTGCTGCAGCGCAGGAAAAAGCGTGTGATGCGGCATTTCGCCATCTTTATTCAACGACTGAAAGGCGTGATGCGAGCAAGGACGACGACAACGCCGATCTTGCGGTCCTTTTGGCTGACTCAGAGGAAAGCGCGGCCGTCCCTGCCTGCTGTGTGAATGGGCCACGGAAGTTGTTGGATAATATCATCCGGTCTATAGACTCGGGTTCCTACGTTTCCTTCATTGGCACTGTCCAACTTGTGGCGAATGATGGCAATACCTTGTTTATGGCCTCATCGCCAGAAGCTCCGGATCAAACGATCTCCGCGATGGACAACGACCGCCAAAGGTTTCACCAGGAGGCTCAACAAACCTTTCAAAAGCTGCGGTTTAACAAGCAACTTGGCGAAGTATTCCTCGGTGATACCCTTTTGATTCAAGTTGTGGAAAATGGCAGGACGGATGCCGTCCCGTCTGAACACTTGGCCCGCAATGAGGAGGCGCACCTTTCGGAAAACGGCTCTTCGAAAAGCGACCCCGACGCGATTAATGAAAATGCGGATAACGATAGTGGCCACGACTATGGGGATCATTTGGTTATCAATGCCGAGTTCCTAACTTTTAACACCGATGTCTTTTCAAGTGTCGACACCTGGCGTGATGCCGTTCGATCGAATGTGGCGTCGGTGTGCACCTGGATTGAAGCGCTATCGGCCCAACCGCCTGGGCTGCCCCAGCTGTCCTTCATCCAGGCCTGCGTTCTCGGGCGCGATCATTCAAACGAGGCTACGTCGGATGCCTCCGCGGCCCGAATCGATGGCTGGGCGAGGGCACTACAATTACCGCTCCTTTTGAACGTCCGTGAGGACCTCATGGGCGCCCTGGATCGCAAGACGCTCGATTTCCTTCGACGGTCGATTCTTTCTTTATTGCGGCTCTTGGTGTCGATCTTTGTGCATGCCGGCCAGGTGATGCCGCTGCCCAACCTCTATGCCGACCTTTGGACCACCTTTGTGGGATCCCCTTTATTTTTAGAAGGCTTGTCGACGGTGTTATCGGCCACCACTGGCAGTACGGGGTCCTTGACCTGGGGCGCGCTGACCGCCGCGCTGCGCCACGCGCTGTTGCTTTGCCTGCACCACATCTGCCACTACACCCCGGCCGGGTTCAAAAGGGAGGAGGGGGGCAATGGCGTGGGGGCCGCGCCCTCGCTTCGCCTCTGCCCGGGCTCCGCGAGGCGGGCGGCCGCGATGGGCCATTTCGAGACCCTCCTGCACCGTCTTTCCGCGACCTGGCTGGTGACCAATTCCCCCCGACCCCCGGCCGGCGGGGGCCGCCTGACCCGCCGGTTTGGCCGAAACCAACGCCTCAGCGAGGCGCTGGAGGAGCTGGCGGCCCAGGGCCTCATCCACGGCCTCGCGCAGTGGCTGCAGTTCAAAGAGCTCAACGACGCCAGGGCCCCTTGGCGGGATGGAGGGGGCGGGGGCCACCCGTCCACGGAGGCCGCGCACGGCCTCTCATCGCTTCTGCGGCCTCCGACCCTCGCGCAGGCGGCGGAGCCCCGATGGGCCTCCGAGGCCGCCGCGGCGGAGGAGCTGGAGGCGATGCGCCGGACCTACACGCCGTACCTTACCCGGGATGCCCTTCACTTTGTCGAGGCGGCGGCTCGCGCCGCGTATGGGGAGCTCTACGGCCCCGCCTTGCGGGCGACCCACCGCTTCCTGGAGTCCTCGCCGGAGGCGCCGTTGGGATCGGATCCCACCATCGTCGCGGTCCGCGTGGTCGCCGTGCGCTTTCCCGCCCTCCAGCCGAAGCTTTCGGGGCATAGTTGGCATGATGTCCGCCATCATGCGGAGTTCGGGCTGCCCGTCCTTCTCGATATCCTTCCCCGCCCAACTTTCCCTTCAAGAGGGCAAAACGGGACGGACGCGGCGGCAGGGCTTCCCGCGACGTCGGTGCACGACCTACAACAGGTCGTCCGCCAAACCGCGGCTTCGGATGAGGCGCCTCCTTCATCGGGGGCGGATGGGTCGTGTTTTGCCAACATCATTGTCCGCCTGCACGGCCGCTCGGTACTTTTTCCTGTCGTCCTGACCCACCTTTCGACCTCCGGGGGTCTCGCCGACCCCGAGGTCGTCCGTGCGCGCGTAAAGGCCTACGTGATGCGCGATACGGACCTGCTGGCGGAGTTTGTGGCGACCAGCGCGGCCATGGAGGCCCCGGATCCACCGGATGCGTGGCTGATCACCGCGTCTCACGGCACCCCATCAACCGCGGGGGATTCCTTCGAAACTCGGCCTCTGACCTCGCCGCCAAGGCGGCGATTGCTCCCGTTGGGCACCCCGGCCTTGACGTATATAGACATTCTTAAGCGCTTGGTGATGCTTCGGGACGACCTCGAGTGTGGGATGAGTTATGAGGCGCTTGCGGTTGGAAAGGACAAACCCGCGAAGTGGACCGCGCAGCCCCCGCACCAACCACCTCATAATGGGGCCAGCAGTGTGGTGGGCAGTCTTTGGCTGTGGTACTTCGCGAGCGGGGAGCTGCCCACGGCGCCCACGGCCTATTCGCCCTCGTCGGCAGGCCGGGCTATCCCCGGGGATACCAAGCGCGAGGCGGTCCAAGACATTCTGCAGAG